TCCCTGACATCAGCATTTGAAATCATTGATCGATCACCAAAGATTGACCCGTTGAAAACTCTGCTTTGAAACCTCTTAATGTTTATGGAGCATTGAGTTGAAAAATGTTGATTTTTCTTATCCAACCCGGCCAGAAATCTTGGTATTGAGCAATTTCAGTATTAAAGTCGATAAGGGTCAAACAGTAGCAGTAGTTGGAGTCTTAGGATATGGAAAGAGCACTATAATATCTTTGATAGAGAGATTTTATGATCCAGTTGTTGGTCAGGCTTACCTAGATGGCAGGCATTTCAAGCTGTATAACTTGAGATGGTTTTTCTAATTGAATCCCCCTTTTTGCTGCTAAAAAAATTTATTTTCCCATACCGTTGTGAACTTATTTGTATCTGTAATTTGGAAGGATTTATTGTTAAACATCTATTTCCTCTTTTTTTTTTTCATTTTTTTCTGTTGGTGTTGAAGTACCACGGTTTATAGGTTGAAATGAAGATATTCATTGGCATGGTGTTTCTTTTGTTATTATTTTTATTTTTTGGTCATTGAAGCATCATATGTTTAATTTGACAAAGACACGAGGACTTATATATTAGATTTTTAAAGGATCAGCTGCTGATAAAGATTTGTCTTCAATCGATGTGATAAAGGAATTAAAGAAAGAAGAAAACCCCAACTATTGTTATGGTGGAGATATTAGATGGAGAAACATATTTATACCATGTAAGAGCAACTCCAAGAAGCTATCTAAAAGGCCCTTGTTAGCTATTTTAAAGAGTTCATTTCAAAAATTCGTCTCCAACAGCCTAGCCATCTGCCTTAGCTATTTCCCAGAACCTTATTTCCTTTGCTATTTCTGGCGAGACAAAGGAAGCTCGCAAGTTTGTTTTTGCGCCAATTTTTTCACTCCACAGCACCCCAGTTTCCTTGGTTGTCTTCACTTATCGTCTTCAGCAAGCACACAGCAACTTCATCGTCCACCGAAGGTATGCTCTCTTCTCTCTCTCTCTCCATCTTCGTTCATTGTCTCCATCAACCACACAGACTTCACACAAATGCTATATACCACAAATCCTATATACATACCCAATCTCTCTCTCTTGGTTCCCACTGAAAAAACCCACAAAAAAAATCCAAAAATCCAAAAAATCCCACTAAAAACCCCCACGAAATCCAACCCAAAAATCGACTGAAACCCCACCCATCTCTCTCTCTCTCTCTCGATTCCCACTGAAAACCCCCCAAAAAAATCACCAAAAAACCGAGTCAAAACCCCAAAAAATTCCACTGGAAAACCCACGAAAAAACCCAAAAATCGACTGAAAACCGCACCCATCTATCTCTCTTTGCATCGCTCTGTCCGAGTTGGGTGGAGAGAAGACAACCGAGGAAAATGGATTGAAATCAACCATTAATTTTTATTCTATCACAAAAATGGATTGCGTCGCTCAGTGGGTTTTTGATTTTGGAAATGGGTTTTGGAGATTGAGAGATTTTGTGGTGACGAGTATGAATTTTGGAAATAAGTTTTGAAGTTTTTTGAGATTAGTTTTTGATCATTTGAAGTACTGATCATCGTGTGGCCTATCTTTTACGCTATTTTCTCTCGTAGTCTATCATTTATGATATTTACTCTCGTAGTCTATCTTTTACAATATTTATTCTCGTAGCTCATCTTTTATGATATTTATTCTTGTAACCTATAATTGATTAAATTTATATAATGTGCAGTTGAATTGCTATTTTTTAAATTTTATTATTGAAAGTTAGTTGAAATAATTAGTTAAAATAGATAGCGTAGTTGGAATGAATTTAAAAAAGTGGTTAGCTAAAATAGTAATACAATATTTAAATATATTTTAAATAGCTATTTTAGATAGCATTGTTGGAGATGCTCTAAGATGGTGGATGGTGAACAAACTTATTTGTATTGTGTTTGTTTTTATTAGTTGACGTTAGTTGACGTTTACCTCTAAATTTGGATATATGTTTTGGTGAATTTGTTGGTATGTGATTATTTATGATTAATTGATGAGTCTTTGGTCCAATGTTACTGTTTATCTTGTAAAAGTCTTGTTTTATTGAGATCAAGAGTTCAAGTCCCTTCCCTCTCCCCAAAAAAAAAATATATTATTTATGATTGTATTGGAGAGTTTTAGAATTAATAAGTGTACTTGTTTAAGAGGAGTATATTACCAAAATTTAGTTCCAAATTCAAGATAATAATAGAGTTTTAATTTCATAAAAAAAAAATTAATGTTTTTAGTCATTATGAATATTTTGATCAAAGTTCATTTCATTCCAATAAAAAAATTATTTTATCCAAACATAAGAATGAAATATGCATTTTATTCCAACACTTAAGTCTAAACAGTTATCAAATATTAGAATGATAATGTGCATTCCATTTTATTCCCAAACTCATTTTATTTCTGCTGAAAAACATTAATACTTACCAAATGCAGCATTATCTCCTTTCACATGAAATATGACAATCCAATGCTTTAAGATGGATTCCTCTTTCTGCTTGTTCTTCTCTGAAGAAGAGATCAAGTAATTAGAAATACTTTGATCCCTAGCAAGGATATAGTTTGATCCTACTTATATCTTAGTATTTCTATATGACGGATGGAGCTCTAAACGATTGTCTCGCTCAAGTTCGCTCATACTCGAGACTCAATTTGGACTCATTAAACATTGAATTGAATTTATAATTTGGGACACTTTACTATAACAAAAGCCATTTTTTTAGAACCGTAACAAAAATTACAATTTTTTAAAGTTAAATTACAATAAAATGGAATTGTTGGGATCGACAGTCATTTTTAAGATTGGTACTAACTTCTTTTGCTGTATATGATCTCCAAAAGCCATATATATATAAAATAAAAATAAAATAAAATAAAATAAAAGAAAGAAGGGTTAATCTCATTTTGTACCCTGAAAGATCGTTTGAATCTCAATTTGTACCCCCAAAGATAAAAAATCTTAATTTACACCCTCAAAGATAGAAATTTGTATCAATGTACACCCCTAAAAATTAAAAATCTCAATTTGCACCCTCAAAGATATAAATCTGTATCAATGTGCACCTAAAATTAAATTGATAAATTATACCTAGATCCCCTCGTGTTTGCCACTTAATCATTTGAACCCATTCACATTTAGAATATTACTCCTACATCTCATGACGTTTATACATGTGTAAACATAACCACTTTTCGTTGATATCTATTAATATAATCGTTAAAAAATATGATTTTATCTTAATAAAAAATTATAATTTCATATTACTCTTTATTTTGTGGATTCGATATACTCTAAAGTTCAAAATCAAGCTTACCATTTGAATGTCTAATAGAATGTAGATATTTATATAAAGGAAAATATTAAAAACATTATATAAATATCTACATTTTATTAGACATTCAAATAGTAAGCTTGATTTTGAATTTTAGAATATATTGGACCCATAAAATAAGGGTAATATGAAATTATAATTTTTTATTAGGATAAAATTATATTTTTTAACGGTTATATTAACAGACATCAATGAAAATGAGTTACATATTGTACGTGCATAAATGTTATGAGATGTAGGAGTAATATTCTAAATGTAAAGAGGTCCAAATGATTAAATAACAAACATGAGGAGATCTAGGTATAATTTATCAATTTAGTTTTAAGTGCATAATGATACAAATTTCTATATTTGAGAGTGCATATTGAGATTTTTTATCTTTGGGGTGCACATTGATATAAATTTCTATCTTTGAGGGTGCAAATTGAGATTTTTGATCTTTGGGGGTGCACATTGATACAAATTTCTATCTTTGAGGGTGCAAATTAAGATTCGAACGATCTTTCGAGGTGTAAAATGAGATTAACCCAAGAAAGAAAGAAAACTTCGATACTGTAACTCCTTCAAAACTGAAGGCTCACCCTTGTGTTACTTGACTCGACAGGCTCGAATTTGATTAATTAATAATAGAGTAAAATACTTTTTTGGTTTTTTTGATTTTTTTTTTTGTGGAGAAAAAATAGCAAAGTAACACGCACAGAGGATAAGAAATTAAAATCCAACCCTTGCCTCATAAGTACAACACACTAAATATTGGAATGGATTGTGTCGCACTCTTTCGAATTTATCACTCAGTCCTGGTCGTGGTAGAGCACAAGATATTCACCATGCGGTTATGTTATTTGGCATATATACATAGTAGATGATGAGCTGAATTGATCAAAAGGCATTAAGATTTTGAAGAACGGATGGTTTTGAATCCCTCCTCAAGGGGCTAAGGATGTCTTCAAGCCACAAAACTCCAAAAAAATTAGGTCATTAAAAATTAGGGTGCCATCAGGCTCCTCATTTTTATGGTCATTAAAAAGGGCAACGCTTTAATGGCACCCTATCTATTATACCCGAGCACTGTCCAAAGGATCCCAGCGAAAAGATTTGGCAAACCCATAGATCATCACCATAATCAATCCAAAATCTTTTTTCAGAAACCTACCAACGAGGCCTATACATAAACTGACCCATGGCATATCTTGAATAGGTAACAATTTAGAGCTAGTGCCACATTGGCCACCAAATAGCGCCAATAGGGTTAAGTAACCTCAAACCTGAAAGCTCAGCCTTTCGAAAATAGTACTATCCCACTGTGGCCTTTTATTTTCTTGGGGTGGAGGGAGGGAGGAGGAAAGAAAAGAGGGGGGGGGGGGGGGGGGGGGGGCGGGTTTAGAAGAGAGAAAGGAGATAATTTAAGAGAAAAATTGTGGTAGAAGGCATACCAGCCAGCCAAATTGGATACGTGGGAACTTGAGCTTGATGAAAATGTCCATTAAGAACAAGACAAGCCGGCCATCTCAAGACACATTGAAATAAACAAAATGCAAACACTACTGGAAACAGACTTGAGCAAAGATTCCCGACAGATTTGACTGGATGAGAAGACCAAAACATTGGCAAATGTACACTTGTATCAACACGATGTACTTAGAATATTTCAACCAAGCATTAGATATAATTTCTTGTAAAAGTTTGACCACAAACTGACAATAATATAAAACTTTCTCATACAACAAATATTAACATAATTGTTCCCAGAAAAAAAGAGCCTTCAAATATGAAATCAGAAGGGAAAGCAAAGAAGGGAGAAAACACCCCAATCACTCTCCAACCAAATACATCCTACTAAAAGCCATGGTTGAAGCACCCATAATGTGATGTGAGGGCTATTACATGCAGCATCCAAATTCATATGAAACATCAGAATTGTGTTTATGCACCCCTTTCAAATCCTCACGTCAATGCTTCTCCATGCCACCAACTGGGTTCAAATGAAACATAATACGAAAAGCCAACTAAAGCAGGAAAAAGAAACTCACCATCAATGCAGCAGAAAAACTTAGAAGCACTTTCTGTGGACAATGGATGGACCAGACTCGTCATATTCACCCTTGGAAATCCACATCTGATTCAACACAAAGCAAGCATGTCAATCTAAAGTGAATGCACAAAACTTTAAAGGAAACAAAAAATGATGACCCAAAAGAATTACCTGTTGGAAGGTGCTGAGAGATGCAAGGATTGATCCTCCAATCCAGACACTGTACTTTCTCTCTGGAGGTGCAACGACCTTGATCTTCATGCTACTAGGAGCAAGAGCAGTGATTTCCTTGCTCATACGGTCTGCAATACCAGGGAACATGGTCGAACCACCACTCAGCACAATGTTACCATAAAGATCCTTCCTGATATCAACATCACACTTCATAATAGAGTTGTACGTGGTCTCGTGAATTCCTGCAGCTTCCATTCCGATCAGCGATGGCTGGAATAGGACTTCAGGGCATCTGAATCTCTCAGCTCCAATTGTAATGACTTGTCCATCTGGCAATTCATAGTTCTTCTCAACAGAAGAGCTGCTTTTCGCGGTTTCAAGCTCTTGCTCATAGTCAAGGGCGACATATGCAAGCTTTTCCTTCATATCACGAACAATTTCCCGTTCGGCAGTGGTGGTGAACATGTAACCTCTTTCAGTAAGGATCTTCATGAGAGAATCTGTGAGGTCCCGGCCGGCAAGGTCAAGACGAAGTATGGCATGTGGAAGGGCATACCCTTCATAGATGGGCACAGTGTGACTCACACCATCACCAGAGTCCAGCACAATACCTGTTCAGATGATAAACCAATTCAGAGTGAGAAAGGGAGGAACGACATAGATTAGAAGAATTCATATTTAAGAGTAACGGATACGAACCGGTTGTACGGCCACTAGCATACAGAGATAGAACAGCCTGGATGGCCACATACATAGCAGGAACATTGAAGGTCTCAAACATGATTTGAGTCATCTTCTCTCTGTTCGCCTTTGGGTTGAGAGGTGCCTCTGTGAGAAGCACCGGGTGCTCCTCAGGAGCAACACGAAGTTCGTTGTAGAAAGTGTGATGCCAGATCTTCTCCATGTCATCCCAGTTGCTTACAATACCATGCTCAATGGGGTATTTTAAAGTTAAGATACCTCTTTTGGATTGAGCCTCATCACCTACATAAGCATCCTTCTGGCCCATCCCAACCATAACACCAGTGTGTCTAGGTCGGCCCACAATACTGGGAAACACTGCCCTGGGAGCGTCATCACCAGCAAACCCGGCCTAAAAGAGACACAATACAAATGTTAAAAATGACTGAGAGTAGTTTGGAGGAGAAGAAAAAGTAAGGTCGATTCACTATACAGTCGCACAAGACTTCAACTAACCTTCACCATTCCAGTTCCATTGTCACAGACAAGGGGCTGAATATCCTCGGCGTCGGCCATTTTCTAAAAAATGCAAGATGGAAATATTAGGTAAGCAGTTACAAGCTCTAATATTAACAATCGTAACTGCTTTTTTTTTTTTGGGACAACCACTTGGAGGATCACTGGGCAAACAAAAAATGGCGCATGTTTTTGGGAGGCACAGATAAGTGCAGAGTTATCACATATCAAAAACATCACTTTTCACATACCAATTATCATCAGACACACAGTCAAGCAGCAGCTTTATAGTAGGATTTTACATAAATAAGCTAATTCCAATAATGTGTTATACTGCTAAGATATCTGATGTAATTCAATCACATAAAATCGAAACATAACAATACCAAAACCTTTGTATAATTTAGCCACCTTCAACAAAGTTAATTTCTATATCTTAATTATACTATAGGAATCTCTAGCATCACTTCCTTGTCATACTAAATTACACAACTGCTTCCCAAGCCAACAACAAATGCAATCCAGATACTTAATAACAGCATGTTACTTGATAACTATTTCTGAAAAAACATTTCATTCCCATTTTATCAAAATTTAATAGGTAACACTCATCCCGGTGATGGGTTCAATTACCACAGAAAAGAAGATTAATCTTTCAAAGATCTGCGAGAAATAAGTATGCCCATTCAATGGCAGAGTAGGTCCATCGAATTGAAATGCAGATTTTAAGGCAATTGAATGGATGTTATTAGAAATGAGATTTTGTACCCAAAAAGGAAAAACACAAAACACAATTAACCACAAGTTAATCCATGCAAGCATAAATTGATCCCAGATCGATGTTCCAACAGCATAAAATTAGATTACACACCCACAACCCAGCAGATCGAACTACTAGATCATTATATCCTAGCAATAGTCAGACCATCTACGAATTTCAATGGCTTTACAAATATATAATCAACTAAAATCCTTTTCAAAAGCTAGAAAAGATTCGATTTCAGCACAAAAGGAAAAATAAACAAACTTCTCAGAGCCACTTGGCAGATCTCTGTCTCAACAAACATTCAGTGCATTTTCTGATCAAAACAATTCCAAATCAGTCAAATCTAGATTCGAATCCAAGAACTAAAGAGTAAATAGAGGAGAGATGGAAACAACAAACAAGATGGTGTAGAAAAGACCTTACAGCTCACCTTTGCTGCAGAGACAAGGAGGAGAAAGAGAAAACTCGAACTCTAGACTGGTTTGTCGATCGAAGAGCTGGCTCTTCCTCTTGCTCTATACTGTCTCGATCCGATCGCCCAAACAAAATGGAAGAGAAACGAGAGGACGGGATAATGTGTAAAATGAGAGAGAGAGAGAGTTTTTTGGAATTTCAAATGCAAATTAAATTGGGTAATGTACTGAAGGTGGTGGGGGGGGGGGGGGGGGGGCGGAAGAGGGTGTTATTCCATTTTTGTTCTTAATATTTTAATCGGATCATTTTAACCTTTAAAATATTAAATTAATTTTTATATGATTTCTTAAGTATACAACGTTCAAATTACCTAAAAAAAATTTATTATAAAATTATCACGTAACACCTAAATAAGGACAAAAAATAATTTAAATAATTTTTAATCAAATCTTTACCCAAATTACATAGTTTTGATTATGAAATATTCAAATTTTGGTAAGAGCGACCCATATTATATATTTTTTTTGTTAAAGATTACTCAAATTTTGGTTAAAAGTTACTCAAATTATTTTCTTTTTATATTTAAATATTACGTAACAAGTTTATGATAAAAAAAACCGTTAGTAATTTAAATGTTGTCTGTTTGAGAGACCACAGAGAAATATATTCAATACTTCATGAACTAAAATGATGCAAGTAAAATATTGAAAACCAAAATGAGTCTAACTTTATACTTTGATGACCTCTAGTATAATTAATCCTAAACTTTATCTTTTATTTTAAAATAATTCTTAAATTTTTAATTATCTCAGCTATCCATATTATGTCAATAAACTCATTCTGTCCATTTTACTCATTAAAATAAACGAAGACAAGTTCATGTATTTATTATGTTCATGTTATGAGCTTCTGCATGTTCTAACAGGTGAAATGAATGAAAATACTTTATTAAAGTGAAATTGATTATTGAAATATTAAATTGAGACAATTGAAAATTTAGAGATTATTTTAAAATAAGAGACAAAGTTTTAGAATTAGTTATGATATTTTATCCAATTAAGTTTAATTAAATGTAAAAATAAAAGTATTTTATTTTAGTGAGAGATTGATTGTCCTTGTTGATAATTTAACAAGCCCAAAATTCAATAATACTTTTTTGTAAATTCTCACATGTCTAAACTATTAACAATCGTTCAATTAGTTTCGTTTTGCATTGTCTCCATTTACATCCTAAATCAAAATATATGAATAATAAGTATATTTAGACTCCAAATAAGTATAAAAGGATAAATATTAAAAGAGAAAAAAATATGACATTTTGCATTCTCATCAATTAGCTAACTTAGAGGAATTGAAGAGAAATGTTGATGGATATACTAGTTCTACATCATGTTGTTATAAATGATTCTAGGAGATGGATAGTAATTTAGTTTTGGTTAATGAATGATGTTAAATATGGATCTTTATGCAAGTCATACTATCTATATTGGAGATGAGTATGAGATAGAATTTGTAACAAAAGACACCCAAACTCGAATTAGACAAGTATAGAAGAACTAAACAGTCCGACAGACTATCTTTCACCAATTTGATCATAACTTTTTGTTGGAAAGTTCAAATTGTGCATTGTTATTTTTGTTAGAACCCTAACTCGTATATCTTTTCAACCATATAGGTCACACATACTAGAAATACCTGAGTCAAATCAGTTTATTCTCCGAAGTTGATCAAAAATTTGCACTATAGTGTTCCTTGGATGGTAAAGTGTTGTGTTTTCTTCTTAGACTTGGAAGATGTAAACCCTCACATGTTTATATTAATATAGTAATATACTTGTTTAGTGATTCTTATATATGTAATAATATAAGAATAAACCATATATATTACAACTGTAAGAATAAATACTAGGGAGGAATAAAATAGTAATTTTAATGTTTCGAGTGTAAATTTATTTTAGTTTTGAAATAAATCATAAAAATAAATGTTTTTAGGTTAAAATAACATTAAAAATGAATCTGTAACGTTGAAAAATCTTAGGGTAGTCATATGGATCAAATTGAAGATTCTTAGTGGCAAAATCGTAATTTTGGAGAAACCAAAAACAACCTGTGAACAGTAAAAATCGGGGCTACTGTGTTTAAAAATTCATTTTCATCCCATTTACTCCCATTCTCTTCACTCCACTCTCACCTCACACCTTTTGGAATCATAGAGGAAGATTAAGAGAGGAAGAAAAAGGAAGAAGAAAGTCACTAGAGCTTGGGTTATTGCTTGAAATTTTGATTCAAGTATGGGTTTTCTTTCATTCTCTTACATTGAGGCTAGGGTTATACATATATGTTTTTTTTGACTCTACATCATATTAATATGCTATGAAATTATGGATTCTTGATATTTTTGTAAATGTTAGCATGTTTTACCCAACCATAAAAGTTCTTTTCCCATATTCAAAACCCTAGATTTCAAGAGAAGTGAGTTTTTCTCTTGATTTCTCCTTTATTCTTGATTTCAAAACTTTAGTGTTTCGTATTGAACAACACAATAGTATTTATGGTGATCTCTTGTTAATTTTTCTTAAATTGTCCCATTGTGAAATAAATGTGAATTTGGATGTGAAAAATTGGAGATTTATGGAATTGAGTGTGTTTGAGAAATTATTGGTGATTGTATCTCATGGAGGTGTTTGGATAACCATGGGTGACCATTGATCGGGTATCGTAGAGTGGGTAGATGTGTGTGGTTCTTACTCCGTGTGGATTTGAACTTTTTCTACCACTCGTAGTGGGGGTTGGTGCCTTGCGAGGATCAAATCACTATTAGCTCATGGGTGCCGTGTTAGAGGATTAGTATACTATGTCTGGGTCGGATTCGTTATTGTCAGTGCATTAGTATGGGACAATGCATCGGTAGGCGCCCTTCCCGAAATTGATATCCTTGCGAGGAATTGTGTGTGTGGGCCAGGATATTCTCTATGTGTTTATTCATGCGATTATCTTACATCATACTTGAGATACATTGTGGTTATTGTTTATTGCATTATCTTTTGGATATGATTATCTTGAAAATTGTTGTAGGAATAATTATTCTTTGGAATGGTTATTTATGGTGGGATTGACTTTACTCTTGCACTTAATTATTGTTAATGTATAAACTTGAGATCTTTGAAAATGTCACGTTTTCTTTTCAAATTTACGTATGCTATTTGTGAAATGAGACCGACCATTTTTCTATGTTTTTCAAACTTTGTTAGAGTTTTGGAGGATTTTTCTACAGTGCGTAGTACTCACCCCCTACCAATAATATTTTTTTTTAGATTTCGTGCTAGAGGAAGATCTCGGCGTTGACGAGCCGGGAAATTGGGAGGTTCCACTAGAGGGGAACCTAGATCCCGAGGTGGACATCTAGAGCTATAGTTTATTTTTGTGCTAGACTAAAAAATTTATTCATAATCATGTATAGTCTAGTATTTTATTTATTCCGTTGCTAAGTTTGAGTGTAATTCTTTTGGAATGTAAGTGTCATAGCTTGACCTATTATTTTGGGATGATATGGTGGATATTACATGTGGTGAATAAAATTTTATTATTTGATGAGTAAATGGACTCGGTGTGGCAATATTTATTCATATATGGATCCGGTGTGGTTAATGTAGTATAATTGCACAGGTTGTGTTTTGGGTAGAGCTTTTCGTACAAAGGAGACTCTGCCCAAATTTTGTTAAATTAAGGACCCCTGATTTTTGGGGTGTTACAGATTTGGTATCAGAGCTAAGGAATTAGGTCTTACATTAGAGCTGTAGGTTATGGATTACCAGTAGAAAAGTAGGACTAGGTTGAAGAAAATTGTTGATCTAATTTTATACGAACCTTATGATTTAGATCAAAGTGATAAATAAGATGTCTTGTACATCAATGAAACTAAATTGTGAATTGATGTGCAGGATGGATGGTGGGCGTGGACGTGGGCGTGGGCGTGGTGGGGGAGGACAAGCAAATCCACCACCACCATCACCTCCCGATGCCATAAGCGGCATATATCAATGTTTGAGGGAGCTCACCACTTTGGTACAAAATCAGAATGGAAACAAAAACCATAATGGTGGAGCTCACCCCCTAGCACAAGTGCCGGTCAATAGGGACGACAACCGGAGGATGGTAACTCTTCGGGAATTTTTAAGGTAACACCCACCTACCTTCCAAGGGAGCTCCAATCCTTTGGATGCGGATAGATGGATCCGCCGGGTGAAGAAGATTTGTGATGGCATGGGAGTTACCAAAGACTTGAGGGTTGGCTTAGTTACCTATTTGTTCGAGGGGGAGGCCGACCATTGGTGGGATTCGGTAAAGAGACGGAGGAACACAGATACACTTACTTGGGAGGAGTTCGATCAAGTCTTCCAAGACAAATATTTTTCTGAGTCGATTAGAGACAAGATGAGTGTCGATTTCCTCACTCTTCGACAGGGTAGTTTGACGGTGGGGGAGTATGAGAGAAAGTTTGAGGAGTTGTCCAGATATGTCACGAAATTCATATCCATAGAGGCCAGGAGGGCCAAACGTTTTGAGCAAGACTTGAGGCCGGCCATTAGGAAGAAGCTTGTGGCTCTTAGGATCCGTGACTATGGGGATCTTGTGGATAGGGCTATGCTGGTGGAGAAAGATATGGAAGATAATCAGCGACGACAGAACCTTATAAGGGGAGGTCCGATCAGGACGGGTGCTAGTAGTAATAGAGCACAGAGAGCGGCACCCTACCGTCGCCCAGATCAGGTAGTTGGACAGAGACCATAGACAGCTCGAGGGGCGGGAGGAGTACCAGAGAGAGTAGGTATCGACCCACGTCAATGCTTTGCATGTGGAGGTATTGGGCACTTCAAAGATAACTGCCCATTACTTTCAACCAAAACCAACCAAGCAACCAGGCGGGGTGGATGCAAACAAGCCACCGCTACAAAGGCCACTACAACAACAGAGATCGTTTGAAGCTCTAGCCTCAAGTGGTGCCAACCAAGAAAAGGTATTTGCTTTGACCCAACCGGAGGAAGATGCCTCCAATGCAGTGGTGGAAGGTATTGTTCTCCTTTACAATTCTTGGGCCCAAATTTTTTTTGATCCGGGTGCGACTCATTCATTTATACGTACTGCATATGCTATTAAATTGGGATTGGGCTTCGAGAAGCTAGAACATGCGTTGTGTATTAATATGCCTACGGGAGAA